AATGAATTAAAAAATGCTTACTGTATGTATGTGTCCAAAAAAAAAAAAAATGTCAAGCAACTTAACTTGAAACTGATACTGAACTTTTTCGATGATATTTTGACATTTGCTGTATAGTAGAGACCTGCGCCCGCCCGCTCCCGCAGAAATATATCTTATCTGGTCCCGCTCCCGCCCGCGATATTCATGTTTTGTCCCGCTCCCGCCCCGCAAAAGCCCGCATAAAAGTAATCTATATAGACTTTTTCAGTACATCGAAGAAATTTACATGAAATGGTTCTGTAACATCTCCTAAACTCCACAACATCCCAGCATAAACACTCCCGATAAAATATTTGTTATTTAGGCTAAGCATCAACATTCACAAACCACTGTTATTTTTAACAGAAAAGCAAGCATTGGCTGCTGCGTGCATGGTTTGGCATGGCAGAATGCGAGCAGCGCTTCCTTTATTATCACTAAAAGCTGACATCTCAGTTAATCTCTATCTCATAATAGATATAACACAATAAATGTTATAACACAATAAATGTATGCACAATGAATCTTTCACAGTGTCTACACTTCATGTGTTAAAATGAGAGGATTCGTGAGCATGCAATTTCAGCACTGTGGTGAGTAGATTGCAACTTAATCACCTCTGGTTGGCCATTGCATTCTGCGCCACTGGAGCTGATGTTTCACAGCCACTTTTTACTAAATCTAAATATACACCCCGTATTTTTTATTCCAGAGTAAGGGCAATTCATACAATACATTTAAACTGAGCTACTTTAATACAATCTCCGAACTTTCTACCACGACTCTGCTGTTCTTCGGCTGGTTCTTCCCTGTATACGTTGATTGACAGATGTCTCGTCCAGTCAGCGGTGAGTAATCCCAAACTAATGGCACTGTCTCAAACTATACCTACCTTTTCCGGTTTTTCTGAATTGTCGTTGTGTTTTCTGACTTGTTAATTTGTTTTCAGATTTGTCGTTGTGTTTTCTGACTTGTTATTTTGTTTTCAAATTTGTCATTGTGTTTTCTGACTTGTTATAATGTTTTCTGAATTGTTATTTTGTTTTTTAGACTTGCATTTGCGTTTGTAATTTGTTCTTTTGTTTTCAGAATTGTGATTTGTTCTGCACTTCTCGGCCACCGTATCATGCAAAGTTAAAACAGTTTTAAACTTTTAGAAAACATGTCACGAATTTGTGGAGGTTTATTCCTTTTCACTGCGTCTCATATGTTTTTAAATACAATCTGTGTGAATGGCTCTTTGTATTAAGCAATGCATAAATACATGATGCTGTTTTGTTCATAATTGTTAATGCAATTTACGAAATTATATTTGATTTTTATTGATAGTTAATTTAGACGTAATGCACGGTTTTTATAGGTTACTTCTGGTTACTTCCTTGCATTGACAATTTAAATGCGCTGTATTACTTTGTTCATTGCGCCCTCCTGTGGCCTCGGGGGACAGGCCAAAAGTTTCCTCGACCTATTTAATCTGCATATAAAACATTAAAAATGAGATATTTGAATTGAATTGTTTACAAAAAATATTTGTTGTTTGTCTCAATAAATTGGGTTAATTTAAAAATACAGTGGTTCAATTAAAAAAAAAAATTCTATTGCTCTTTGTTTTAAAAAAGGTTATAAAAAATGTCAATAATTATCGATACCGAACGATATGATACATTATATCGTTGATAAATTTTTTGCTATATCGCCCAGCCCTAATTCATACTACATATACATATTTTACAGTCGCATAAGTAAGTGCTTATTCAGAAGAAATACCTACTCGGACTCAGCCTATGTATGTAGTATGCGTCATACAGAAATAGTACTGCTCTGAATATAACCATCCATATCTATGTAAGAGAAAACACTGTTTTTACGAGGATGGTGCATGAGAACAGATAATTTCCTGTCTGCATGTCAGCATTTAAATGATGATTCACACGGTCTAGTGATTTCTGTTTGTGCAGGAGGAAGACACAGAGGTCGAGGATGTAGAGTTCACTTCTTTGCAAGTGTTCTTGCATGGAGTACGTGTGGATGCTATCGCATGGAGCCCTGAAACGCGTCTGGACAAGCTCCCTCCGGTCATCAGGTACGGCTTTGAGCATGTGCCGCTTTTTTATGTGGGGAGAAACCAAATCAAACTGATGGATTATAATGTGACTTTGTGTGTGTAATATAAGATGTGGAATTATGATGATGTATGGAAGGAGCACAGATCTCAATGCCAAACTCCATATAGTTCTTCATCTACAACCGGGTTCCTTCTCTTCATTAGAGGTTTAGACACAGTATATGATAATTGATTTATTTTACCGCACATTCTGATATTCTTTTAAATGTTAGATAAATATGCTTTTTCTGTATTGCACTATTGAATTACCCGGCCTAATTGATGTCTGAGTCAATTGGGATATTTGAGAGTTGAGATATTTTACCACACATGCACAAACATACTCATTTTTGTTCAAACAAATGTGTTTTCTCAGAACATGTTTTTATCACTGAGAGACCCATTTTCCAGGGATCGATTAATTACCGAGATTTGTATGTTCATGTCAAGCAGTGGAAAGTGTCTGTCACAGCTGTAGTTTGATCTGGTTTGTATCAAGAGTCTAATAAGAGGTTGTCAGTCTGACATGTTCTTCGTTAAGCTGTGAACTTGGGAGGGTTCTGCACCCGGTAGGGAAGTTTCCTGTAGGTTTAGCAGCATGGGAAGGGCAGCGTTATTTCCTGGCCATGCTGTGGTCAGGGCGGAAGGTATAGCGTGCACAACTGTGTGCGCTGCCCTTTATTTATTTTCTTCTTCACTGTAGGTGTACCTCTTGGTAACGGAGTACTAGAGATCTTATTAAGGTTTCCTGGGCATGTGGGTTGACATGGAGTCAGAGGTTATTGACAGGTTGACTCGTTGCCTGCTGGTACTGCTGGCATGTAAATAATTGGTACCGTTGTGATGTTACGCCATCCGCGCAACAATCTAGCCAAAGACAACTTGCAAATGATCATGTTGATAGAACGATGTGATGGTAATCTTAAATATAAGATGGAAGACGATTTTGTGTCTGTGTGTGGTATGGTAACATAAAAAGTGCGTGCGACTCTCTAACTAAAAGTGTTTTTCTTGTCAGAGGTGAGTTAGTGTAATTGTGTGAATAATTGCTGCTGCTGATTAGTGGCAGAGCTGTTTTATTAGGTTTGGTTGGATTTTGAACACACAAATGTGAAAATGGCGTGATGAAATTCTGACTTTGGTTGTTTGTCTTTAACATTTGTAATCTCTCCAGTGTTTTATCTTCTGACTGTGGTTTGCTACACACCCACGTACATGATGGTGACTAAATGCAGTGTATTATTTTATCCTTTTTTTTCTCCTCATTTCAGGTTTTGCACCGCAGCGGCTGACAGAAAAGTCAGGCTGTGGACATCTGATCTTCAAAACAATTGTGATGTAAAGGTAGCTCTTTCTTCTCCTGTACACTCGCAGTATATTTGCTATGATTTTGCTGGTGATATAAAATTAAAGGAATAGTTCACCCAGAAATGAAAGTCATCTGTACAGTAATGTTTCTTTCTGTCCTTGGCTGACTTATTCACTGTATGAACGTTGTATTCAATTTCTATGATTTCTTGTGTTGCCTAGGTGATGGAAGGCCACACCAGTTACATCAATCATCTAGTGTTTGAGCCTGCAGAAGGAAAGCAAATAGCCTCTGTCAGCGATGACCACACTTGCAGGTTAGTTGCACTGCAGTCCGACTGTATGAGTGTGAGAAAGTGAAATATATGTGTGTGTGTGTGTGTGAGTGCGTTCTGTTCTCTGTTAATGATGCAGAAAGTCTTGACCAAATTTCCACACTGAAACCCGACACTAAACACAACACGGCTCGCCGTTGCTCTGTGTAAGCGTCAACCGCCACTTGCTTGCAGAGTTTTTCTAAGTAATTGGTTAAACGTGGAAATCCAATCAGCAGCCGAGGCTTTTCCTCTCCACGGCCACAGTTAACGAGCTCCTCGAATGTGGCCCCACCAATCAGCCACTGAGGTAAGTGCGGTTTCCGTGCAGTCAGAGGTAATGTAAGAGAACACTCCTGTAGTCTCGGGTCTTCCCTTTTGCAGCAGAACCGTGTAACTGACTCACCTGGATGTTGCAGCGCTGCGGCCTGCCACAACTCAATGGCCCGGCCTTTCTCTTCCCAGCTTGCAAACCCTAATGGCTTCAAGATGGACGAGGACCAAGACGGTAGTTTTCCTTATAGACATCCAAAGTCCAGCTATTGGATCCTTTATGCAGACCTTGCCATGACAGTTTTATGATATACATCTTAAAATTTGTATGGTGTAACCATGTTTTCTCAACATGATCAGGTGCTTTTGCCATTTCTGTGCCATTGCATCATAGACATTACATCCCTTTCTTGATATGAACCATCATCTTTCACATAATCTGCGCTGGGATGTTTGTGGATCTGCTTCAAGCCCAGTGCATTTCTTGGTGCACACACTGCCAATGTTAGCATGTGACCTAATGTCAGCACTGACCCATTGCGCTGTGATAATGTTTTCATACACTCTTCATCTGGGTGGTGCGACATTGAGAATAGGAGTGCGCTGCTCTTCTCGCAGCTGTTTTATTGATGTTGGTAGAACTTCAGGGTGTGATTTAAAGAAGGAATTGCAGATCTTTATCATAGTCGGGGCCCGGGGGTAAGACCATTTCAGTTTGCAGCTTCGGGAGTAATGGGCTTCTTCTCTGCTGGAACCTGTATGTGCTGAAACCCCTTTTGTAATCCCTAACACCCCTAAGATTGGCCCAGTTAGAAGCAGCCTATTATTTTGATTAAGTAATAACCATCTCTAATGAATAAATCATGGCCCACCCGACAGCACAGTAAGGTGCAAACCACTGCAGTTACCATATATTACTAATCCTGAACTGCCAGCTCAAATGAGAGATTTGATATGATGATTTGAGATTTGGTGTCTCGCTGTGGTCGTGCTCATAAGGAAAACAGCCAAATGTTACCCAGAGTGCTCGCCAAAACCATAGTTTACACATGCCCATCAGAATTTAGATACAGATGTTGATATATGTAGCTTTGGTCAGTGGATTTTGTGTCAGAGATAGTGTGTTTGGTGGGAGAGCAGAGGGGCCACTGAAGGGATCGAAGCAGGAAACATCCGCCATAAGCCTCAGTCTCCCTCTCCTGTGGAGCCAGAGAAAACAGTAGAGCGCTCCATCTGCAGAAAGATTTAAATTGTCACGTTGAGAAAGTATGGGACGCAGGAGGAACAGCGAGGTGGAACAAGGGAAAGATCAGGTTAATGTTAAGAGAAAGAGAGTGAACCTTTTCCAGTCAGGCCACACATACTGAGCTTTTGATACAAATGTGGCTCTCAGCTGGAACGTTTATGCATGTGTTGACACACCTTCCCTGTTTAATGGACCAGCTGTTCTGGTCAGTAGCATATGTTAAGGATGCTGGTCTGCAGCTTGGGATGCTAGTATGTTTGTGTCCCTACTAGGTTTCCTAACTTGCTGTCTCCGTTAGCAGACCAGTTGAAATTCATGCTGTTCTTTTCAGCAGGGTTGTTCTTCCACATAGGTATTTACATTTTATCTTGCCTGTCTTTTAAGATATCGCCACTGAGGGTTTGATCAACCACCTCAATCATAGAATCGCCTTGTATTTCAAACCATTTCAGATCTCCTCTTGTGTTACGTAATGTGTGTGTGCCGGGGAAAGAGTGCAACCTGTTTCCTTTGAAGATCAGTTTTTTGCTATAGTAGTGTTGCAGGCCTCAGTGCCACCTACAGATTACTTTAGGGAGTGCAGGTCACAGAAGGAAATCCTGAGTTGACAGAGTTCAAGCTAGGAAAATGAGGCATACCTTCAGTTCCAGAGGATGACAGGTGTTTTTGCATCTACAGTTCTGTAGGACAGAAAAGGGGTTTGACCCAGAATAGAACACCATAAGTAACTTATTTGAAACATAGGTAGCAACTCCATCTGGTACGCAAATAGCACTCCTCATGTGATGGGCAAAAAAGATTTGACTACAAATTGATTCCGATCCTCCTGGAGGGCCACTTTATAGATAAGTGTGTTGGAACAGGCTGGAGTTAAACTCCGTAGGAAGATAGTCTTCCAGGAGCAGGACTAGACACCCCGGCAGTAGAGTTTGATGACACACAATCTAAGATTATCACAATTCTTTCTAAGAAGGATACTTTCAATACTGCCTTAGAATTTTACTAACACAAGGTCCCTTGGAAGGGAAACTGTTATGTCTAACTTTTTGGAACGGCCTTCCAAAGGCACATGTGATGCCTTAAAAGGTTGTTTACACAAAAAGTGTACCTTTTAAAGGTTCATCAGCTTGTCACTGGGGCAGTAATCTCAAATGTACACCTTAGTGCAGGGCTGGGCAACTTCGGTTCTGTGTTTGATTAGGGTTGGAACTATACTCTTCAGGACAGTGGCCCTCCAAGATCGAAGTTGCCCAGCCCTGCCTTAGTGCCTTCTTTATCCCTAAAGCAGTGGTCACCAACATTTTTAGGCCCAAGATTCCTGACCTCGGCCTTTATGAAAGACAAGATCTACCTATTGAAGAATTGATAGAAAAAGACATCCCAGATTGTGCTTCAAATTTGAGGCCTTTTACTTAGTATTTTAATTAGTGATGCGCCGGTCATAGCTGATTCAGAATTCAGATTTTCTTTTCTTTCTTTTTTTGAACTAGCAAATTGGATACTGATACTGATTTTTAAGCAAATTTATTTATTGGCTATTTGCTTTATAACAAACATACTGGCTTTAAACAAAAATATCTAGCTATTTGAAATTAGAGGCAAGTTACCACTGCATTTTAATCACGATCTGCATGGGCAGTTGTTTTTGATTTGATTTCGATTAATTTCAGGATTTAAAACAAAAACAGAATGGTCTGACTTTAGGTGTTATTTATTTATTTGCTACATAAAACATCTGCGCGAAACAACAGCAGGTCTGAATGAGACGCACTCTCTGACAGCAGGTGGCACTAATGAACAGGGTTGCCAGGTTTTCGCAATAAAACTAGTCCAATCATATTTCGAGGAGGGTTCCCCTGTAAAAATCGCATTCCGGGGGTAAAATACACGTTCTTCGGCGGGGATCTTCCAGTAAAATTCACATTCCAGGGACTAAATATCATGTTATTGGGGTCGCTTCAACCCGCGGACATGAACAACAACCCGCGGCAACAGTGTTAAAGTAGCCCAATTCTGCGAGAAAACCGCAGACTTGGAAACACTGCTTATGAAACTATAGCGTTTCCTTGGTTACCGCTGTAAGCAAAGCAGAGCTGCACTTTATACGGAGAGTGGTTTATGGTTTTTCATTGGCAAGTTATTTTTAGTAATCTGACTTCCTTCCGTGTGTAATGTGAACTCTAATTGAGTTCTTCTTAGGATTATGCCACTTTTGATTAGTGTCCTGTTTCTGACAGTGCTTTTTTTTTAGCAAGCAACTCGTTTGATTTTTACTTTCAGACTTCCTCTGTTTGTGTGTGTGCAACTCCAAGGTCACGACTTTGATTCCTAAGGAACACATACTGATGAAATGTATACATTGATTGCAAAGTGTCCTGAATGCTAGTGTTTCTTCTCATTTATAGCTTGAAATCTGTATCTATTTAAGTTGTATTCAAAACTCTTAAGGCTTCAGTCATCCTGTTTTATTTTAGGTTAGTGGTTTATGGTTTTTCATTGGCAAGTTATTTTTAGTAATCTGACTTCCTTCCGTGTGCCTAATTGAGTTCTTCTTAGGATTATGCCACTTTTGATTAGTGTCCTGTTTCTGACAGTGCTTTTTTTTTTAGCAAGCAACTCGTTTGATTTTTACTTTCAGACTTCCTCTGTTTGTGTGTGTGTGCGCATGTTTTAAAGGGTAAGAACACATGGGGACGGGGGTGATGTAATAACCCATTCATGGCCTCATCATTTTTTTCCTGTTGCTTAACCATTTGCTCTGTCACCATGACCTCCAACTTTATTGCACCACTTATAATTCGGATTCAATTTTATGGGTAAAAGAACATCCACACAGTTAAAAGTGCACATCTTGATTCAATCCCTAGTACTTTCAGAGACTTTTCCCCTGTTTATCATGTAAAATGAACCTACACAATGTTTTGATCAAGTTCAATATTTTGGCCATCATGCAGCATAGATGTTGTGGTGAACAAATATTACAGCTATCCTCATACTTAATGTCTGCATTTTGTATTGTATTTACCTGAAGACTATTTTGTTACTTTCCTTCTTAAAGAGTGTGGAACCTTGATGGTAATGAAACCATTTCATTCAGACTGCGTTCCCCTGGTGTAAGTGTCTGTTGGCACCCTGAGGACATCTGTAAGGTCAGTAACAAGTCTGACAGAACTAATGGTTATATGGGATGTAGATTGTGATGTGAACTTTCCATGTGATACATTTCTTTAATACAGTTGATGGTGGCGGAGAAGAAAGGCACAATACGGTTCTATGATCTTGTTACACAACACGCAATTCTGTCTCTGGACAGCGGGCAGGTGCCGCTCATGTCAGCTGACTGGTGTCTCACAAACACTATTAAGGTTGGAGCTGTGGTGGCCAATGATTGGGTGATCTGGGACATTACCCGCTCTAGGTAAATGCAACTTTGTCTCTGTGGCTAAAATGCATTATATTTGGGCAGTGAGTTGCTTTTAAAGCAGAACTATTGTGTGGTCGACATGACCTATCTCCCGTTCCACTTTTAGTTAATCTTTCTGAGAATCAAGAATTTGTCCATAATGTGCATCAAGCCTTAAAACCTTTTGAAGTCTTACATGAACTCCTCCACACTAAATCACCATTACGACATTCAGCTGAGCAGTTTTGTTAAAGGTGGAATTAATTAAACTGTCGGTAAATGATGCTGATGTGCTTTGCCTGTAGTTATCCACTTGAGAAGAGACCAGCTCATGTTGACAAGGCAAGACATTTCAGGTAATTTTTTTGGTCTAATGATCAGATGATTAATTGTTTTCTTTGCTGGACTGCGTCCATGACCATAATCCTGGTGGCCTCTCTTCTACAGATGGTCAAGGGCAAATGAGAATCTTTTCGCTACCACCGGCTATCCGGGAAAAATCAACAGTCAGTTACTGGTGCATCATCTGGGGCATCCACAGGTTTGTAAAATAATGTAATTTTTTTTAATTTGATTTTGAAATAGATTTGCATTACAATGGTATACAATTGTCTTTGCAGCCTGTGATGATTGGTTCTGCATCTGTGGGGGCTGGTCTAAGCTGGCATAGGACCCTGCCTCTATGTGTTATCGGTGGGGACCGAAAGCTGTTCTTCTGGATGACAGAGATGTAACCTGGACAGAAGTCAACTGGAGAGTGTTTCTGTTTTTCTTTTTCAATAAATAAAGTAATATTGTAATGAAACCATTTCATTCAGACTGCGTTCCCCTGGTGTAAGTGTCTGTTGGCACCCTGAGGACATCTGTAAGGTCAGTAACAAGTCTGACAGAACTAATGGTTATATGGGATGTAGATTGTGATGTGAACTTTCCATGTGATACATTTCTTTAATACAGTTGATGGTGGCGGAGAAGAAAGGCACAATACGGTTCTATGATCTTGTTACACAACACGCAATTCTGTCTCTGGACAGCGGGCAGGTGCCGCTCATGTCAGCTGACTGGTGTCTCACAAACACTATTAAGGTTGGAGCTGTGGTGGCCAATGATTGGGTGATCTGGGACATTACCCGCTCTAGGTAAATGCAACTTTGTCTCTGTGGCTAAAATGCATTATATTTGGGCAGTGAGTTGCTTTTAAAGCAGAACTATTGTGTGGTCGACATGACCTATCTCCCGTTCCACTTTTAGTTAATCTTTCTGAGAATCAAGAATTTGTCCATAATGTGCATCAAGCCTTAAAACCTTTTGAAGTCTTACATGAACTCCTCCACACTAAATCACCATTACGACATTCAGCTGAGCAGTTTTGTTAAAGGTGGAATTAATTAAACTGTCGGTAAATGATGCTGATGTGCTTTGCCTGTAGTTATCCACTTGAGAAGAGACCAGCTCATGTTGACAAGGCAAGACATTTCAGGTAATTTTTTTGGTCTAATGATCAGATGATTAATTGTTTTCTTTGCTGGACTGCGTCCATGACCATAATCCTGGTGGTCTCTCTTCTACAGATGGTCAAGGGCAAATGAGAATCTTTTCGCTACCACCGGCTATCCGGGAAAAATCAATAGTCAGTTACTGGTGCATCATCTGGGGCATCCACAGGTTTGTAAAATAATGTAATTTATTTGATTTTGAAATAGATTTGCATTACAATGGTATACAATTGTCTTTGCAGCCTGTGATGATTGGTTCTGCATCTGTGGGGGCTGGTCTAAGCTGGCATAGGACCCTGCCTCTATGTGTTATCGGTGGGGACCGAAAGCTGTTCTTCTGGATGACAGAGATGTAACCTGGACAGAAGTCAACTGGAGAGTGTTTCTGTTTTTCTTTTTCAATAAATAAAGTAATATTTTTCATGCACTGTCACTGTACGTACTCCACTGTGTCTTGTTTTATAGGTCACTTGGGTTAGAACTCAGACTAACAATTGTGGGAAACAAGACTCTTTCTCTCTCCCCAGTTTTTTCCCTTTTTCTGCGAAGCATTGTTTCAGTGTTTTTGGTGTGGTGTTCTGCCAAGCAGGCTTAAAGTTGAGCCAAAGGTCACCGAACGGCAGGAGCTGGCAGTTTTCATTGCAGAACGCTTGAGTGTGAGAAAAAAAAGCTGCACAGGTGCTCATATAGACAGTCTAATTGACTCCACCAGGATAATAATCTGCAGTCCCATTCCTAACACTACAGGGGAACTTCCTCCGCTCGACTGTGACGCATGCTTCAACAGTTGAACCCTGAAGATGAAGACAAGCATGGGAAACTAAAGTGCAAGGAGAACACAAGACGGCGTGAGCTGTTTTTTTCCCCCAAGAAAAGCACAGGAGACTCTCTAAAGGGGGAACAAGGGTTCTCTCAGGTCAATTGTGTTATGTTTGGGCAGGAAGGTGTGAGGCCAAACGGTAGAATAGTTGGATCAATGACAAATAAAAACATTCACAATCTTAAAAAACCTTTTAAAAAAATTGTTTAAAAAACATGCTTTAAATTTAGAGTTTTTTTAAATTCATGATGCAAAAAGTATTACTTACAAATATCACTGATTATTAATTCATTAATCATTACATTTTTGGGGTGTCACATCACATGACAAGTGGACAGTGTTGGGGAGTAACTAGTTACATGTAATTTAATTACAAAATAAATGTGACTAATCTGTTACAGTTGCTGATAAAAAAATGTGTAAATTACAGTTACGTATGAAAATGTTAATGAATGTCCCAAAAAGAATGTCCCAAATTGCATTGACTGCTCTAATATGAGACCCCAATGTTTCAGGAGTTTAGGACACATATTCGAAAACTTTTATTTTCTGTTTGGGTTTATGTATATGCTTTATTTTTTAAGATTGACTGTTTTTTCCAAGGATTTGATTTCAAAAACAGTATCATAGCTATTAAATCATATCTTAAGATTTGAAATCTGTATTTAACCTCAGAATGATCTCAAAGTAAACAAACAAAAAAAAAGCTACTAAAGTCTGATTTTGTGGTGGCTGTGCTTTAAATTGTATTTTTATAATCTGAATTCAAGTGATGAAGGATTTTGAAAGTCTGAAAGTAATCAGAGTTGGTTTAGAAGTTTGAAAATGTATAACAGTTGAAAACATTCTTTTAAATGTAGAAAAGCAATCAAATGTAATCAGTTACATTAATAAATTAATTGAAAGTTACACTACTTATTTTTTTTTTAATTGGGTAACTTGTAATCTGTAACCTATTACCTTTCCAAAGTATCCTTCTTAACACTGCAAGTGGACAAGTTGAAGAGTTGGGGAAATTAACTGGTCAAAAAGTGTACCAACCCTGGAGTAGTTTTTCTTGCAGTTCCTGAGACTTTTGCATGTGCTCCATGTGTAACAGTAGGGCATATTGTGCCTGGATGTTAAGGTGAGACTGAAATGGGTGCGGGGAGAAATGAACCTATACTCTTTCAAGCCCGAAAGACAAGCCTGTATGATTCTTGGAGCCCAGAAGCACACTGCCATCCGCAATCATAACATGCTACTACTCTCCTGGCCTGCTGGCTTTGAATAAGTTCAATGTGGTCTGAAACGAGGCTTTAGTAGAGCTGAACGTGGCTGGTGCTGGACCAGCTGCATATAGCTTGGAGAAATCAATGTCAGCCTCTTCTACATACTCTCACACAAGGGACACTATTCCAAAGGATACAATCACTTTCTGAGAGCATTGAGAAATTCCTGAAAGGACTTTTAGAGAATATGATCACCACTTTCCCAAAATCTACTTTTAATGATCAATATTTGGTTAGGCACGATTTTAACCCAAGACTGCCATCTGGTGGCTGGATTACATTTAGTAGTGGTGGGTGTGCCAGAGTCCTGTGAATATGCCTTTTATTAAGAACCAGTTCATGATTAGAGTAGCCTATGCATCATATAGAAAGGATATGGTGGTTTCTATTTGGAATATTTCAGTCAGCTTGGTAGGAAAGATGGCAGTGTTGTGATAGAGAACGCTTATGCATTTTTTCCAGCAGATGCTCTCTGTCATGATGAAGAAAGACTATGCAAGCCTTCCTTCAAAGGCCTAATGCTTTAAGCCTCCAAAGTTGGCAAGTAGTTTTAATGACTAAAAAAAACATCATGATCAAAGCAGCTCTAACCAGGTTGAGAGCTTCCGAACAGCTTAGAGGCCTAATCCTCTTCACTACTTAAGACAAAGCAAAAAGAACAAAAGGAAGGAGTGCGCTATTTGATTCCAGGAGATAATGTATTTTCATGAGGGCTCTCCTGGATAAGTAGAAGTCTTTTGAGGACCAAGACTTGTGCTTGCACTTTCTTTCACAGTACGACCAGTGGCTGAAAAGTGGCAGAATAGTGATGTAGACCAAGGCTGGGAATTGTAAAGATTTAAACAGTTCTGGTTACGGTTCCTCCTCACGATTCCAGTTCGGAACGCAGTTTTAATAATGACTCTGTTCGTACTTCAGGAAATAAATACTTGAAGAAAAAAAAATGCTATATTTCATTGCAGTGAGTAAATTAATGTCAACACAAAAAGAAAATGTATCATCCATTTTGTAAATTCATTTACTTTTAATCAAAATCTTATATCTCGATTTTTTTTTGGTGAAAACGACAGACTCATCTCTGGTGAACTTTGCCGGACTTCTTCAATCATTTAGTCTGCTTAAACCCCGTCCCTCCACAATCGATTGCAAGCTCACATCTTTGAGTGCCACAAAAGGTGTTTACACAGGCTTTTTAATGACTACTTAATGTCTTTAAATAACAATACTAAAAACTCACTCTATGTCATTCGCAGTGCTTCATAGCAAGTGGTGCTAAGATGTTCTTTTGGTGAGACAGGTTGAGATTTCTCTGAACCATAGGTAATGCATTTTTTCACCAGGAATTCCAATATTTAATTTTTTTATTTATTTAAAAACAAGTTGTAATAATATGGGCTGATGGCTTCAACAAAAGCTTATACCATTGATTCCTCCGTAGCTCTCAGTAGGTGTGCATTTAAAGGTTTATAAGTTATAGTTCAAAATCAAATCCCCTATGGAGAAAATGAACGTGATTTTCACTTCCGGAACCTGATTGTTGGTCTCCACAATTTCCACAATACCAAAGGGAAATGCTTATGTTCTGATGACATGATAAGTGTTTGGGATTTTTGGGTAGAATTTCACAGAACTGCCAGTGGTTATCATATTGCTATGGCAACACACATTTGTTTTGAATTTGGTTTTCAGAGGGATTTGTGGGTTGGGTTGAGCGCCATGTAAAATGAGATACGAGAAACGATTAAGTGGTTGAATTTGGTTTATGAAAGCAGATGTCTGCTCCTCTTCTCTCTCCCACATTTATCACATTATTTGCTTCAATCTCTCTCTCTCTCTGATTCGTTTCTTAGACACGTTCAAGGCAAATAAAGGCCAGCCAGCTGTTAGAACCTCATTTACCCCTGAACTCAATGAATTCCAGCACAGAGTGACCTGGATGCTCGCTTTGTGGTTTCGCCTAGAGGATTGTTTGGCCTGTGCTGGGGCCAATAGGGAGGAATATGCTGTGACCTGGTAGCTTTATCTTTTACTATGAATGGAACAGTTGCGTAGTTGTTCCTACACCATCTGTAGTGCAACCACAAGCTGTCAATCTGTTAAAAGTAGGGCTAATCCACTAAACGGTCTCCTTTCCTGCTGGAGCCAAAGCAGAAAAGATGATTCATTTATGATGCATTTAAGCAACATTTTACTAGCAAGAAAGCTGCATTCCGAATATTAGCATGGCTGACATTGGGCCGTGGCCACGAGCTGACAGGTGATCACAGCAACAACGGCACAATTAAGAGTGAGTTATTTCTTTTGTACAAACGTTCAGTTAAAAAAAGGGGGAAATAATATTAAATAACAAAAATGTTTGACACAATGTTGCCACTTACTTTATCTCTTTTTGCTTCACCAAGGAAAATACGGAGATTTCAAACGGAGAGTCGGATGAATTTAGCCGTTGCATCTCCGAATAAACATGCAGGCGTTTTCTGAACGAATCAGTGTTTCGAAAGAATCGGTTATTGGTTACAGTTAGTGATTCAATGAATCATCTATAAAGACAGGCTCTTGAGGCCACCTGCTGGGTGTAACCTGCAGAAAGAGTCCAAATGTAAAATCCCTCACGATAATGTATCAAATAATTAATATGTTGTGTATATGTAATAAATATAGCCTAAACATTGTAATTTGAAAAAACAGAATTTTGCTGAAATGTATGAGTCTTTCCCCCAATGACGTCTGCATTTGATCCATTTCTGCTGAACTGGAAAACTGTGGCATGAGGTTTGAGAGTTGGTCAAAGCATTTCTCTCTCACCTCTTTATATTTACCACCACAGTCTCTGTCTTGACCTCACCAGTGTCACAGTGCACATAGATCTGTTCTTTCTTTGGCAGCTATGTCTGTGTCTGCCTTTTTCTATTGCTAGACTGAGATCGAACAGTGTAGAAAAATTTAGGCAGAATGTACTTTCTGTTTAGGGCCAGAAAACATTCCAGTTTATTTTGTTTTTTACGTTCATTTCCCCACTGGTCCAAATAGCCTATGAACAAACTGTTCATTCTGATATGGTTTATTCCAATATGGCTCTTGGATTTTAAAAGCTACATGTTTTAGGGGGATTTTTGAATTATTGAGTTCATAATTTGAGGGATTACTCATGACATCTATGGTTCATCCATGGAAACTTTCCATTCCACAAAAGGTTCTTTATAGTGGGATAAAAAGGTTCTTTAGATTTTTTTAAATGTTCTTCACAATAAGAAAAAAAAATATTTTAAGAACTGTTCATTGAAAGGTTCTTTGGGGAACCAAAAATAATTATTCTATGGCATCGCTGTGAAAACCATGCAGCGGTAGTCAAAATAAAGATATTTATTATTTTGGTAAACAGAAGTCTTCATTACATTTAAAGGTGATACATATACACACATATACACATTTCAACACCGGACATTATGCAATGTAATCTGCAATATATTCATATACATTCAGAAAGGCTTTCCGTAATAGTTGTTATTGATGATACTGTCTCCCGCCCTCTGGTTTATTTCTGTCCCAGCCTCTCCAGGGCTTTATGTAAGATCTTTAGGTCATCCCTCATCTGCGCTAAAGCATTCTGGATCTTAGAAGGCTCATCCAAAACCTCCATGCTGCAAGTGTAGGGATCATATCTAATGGAGAAGGGCTTCTGTATTGTGGATGAATACTGCCTGTGGAACAACAGCAATTGCAGTCACTAATGATGCTTTCTGATCATTTGTACAACCTCAGTGAAAAGATTGTCTGAGAAAACACCTACCTTAGCTTGTGTTTGGCATCCTCAAAACTTTCGGACACAAAGTAAACAGGCTGAAATGACTGGTCCTGGTACGGTTGGACCGCAGTCTCAGCTGGATTGAATGGTTTGTATTGGGGCTCATTAGAAAGGGCGTACTGGAAAAAGAAGATACAATCCAATTAATTTCAAATAAATGCAGTTATTTGTTTCTATTCATCACAGAATTAAAAAAATCATGGTTTCCTCAAAAATATTAAGTATAGCACAACTGTTTTCAACATCGATAATAATAAGAAATGTTTCATGAGCTCCAGTTTTTTTTCTTACCAAAAGTTCTCCATATGAGGACAGTAGTCCAGCCCCATAGGCCTTCACTGTTCCATTTTGCTTACAGAGACCAAACTCCACTGTAAACCAGTATAGCTGTTTGTGGAATTTAGAGATGTTTTGTTAGGCTACACATATAGAATGACAGAATTTATATATAATTTAACCATTTGTAAATAGCCGTTTAACCATTTGTTTTGATTTTGTCATATGAATGAAAGAACACAAGGGGGCACTAAAGACTTGCTTTAATGCATGAAGCTTCAGTGAAGTATTCTCCAGCTGAATATTTCCATTAGGATGTACTCACTGTGGACAGTTTCTCAATATCTTCATCTGATGCTCCAAGCGAGGCAAGTCCAATCTCCTGCAGTGTAAAATGTTCAGTGTCAAATGCAAAGTGTCTCAGAATTCACTACATGGAAAAACATTGATTGACCATTTAAATAAGATCTATCTGTATTAAAATAGTATGCATTTTGAATGGTAGTTTCCCACTTTAACCGTTAATTTCAAGCTGATTATGTGACATAAAAACATACCTGTGAAAACTGAGCAAATTCTTTGTCTGCAAGCATGGGAATATGCCCAAGTAGCTCATGGCAGCAGTCCCTTTTTAAAGTAAAATACAGTCAAAATATTAATATTGTGCAATAAAAAGTTGCCAAATCCAAATAAAATTCAGTTTTGTGTCTTTATACGTACGGTTCAGGGGAATGCATGGGAGCTGAAGGGTGACGAATGTACTGGGTACACTGGAACACCCGGAACGCTAGACTGGCTAGGAAGTCCCGAGCAGAAAGCAGCCCTGCCACTGGCCGTAACTGAAAACCTGTCCTCTCTGATCAAGAGCACACACAGGCACAGAACATAGTTAAAGTCAATGTAAATTTGCACATTTTGCACACACAGTGCAAAACGCAGACCTGTTTACCTTTAAGAAATGCAGACACGTCTCCTAGCTGAGGGATTTTGTCCTCTCCGTACAAACATTCACTCTCCAGCTGACCGAGGGCTTCTAGAAACTGTCTGCAGGCGTGAGTGGGGTACAGACCGTTTAGAGTCCTGTAGACCTCCCTCCTGCCTCATCACAAAAAGAGCTCTTAGAATCATGCGGCCGCACTAGTCTTCTCTAAACATTTGATATGCAAATACTGACATTTAGTTGACAGCAATCAAACTCAATAAAATAACTGGGAAAACCTACCAAGTGGAAATCTCTTCTGGAGTGTATTCCACTACAAGTAAAGGGTCACCACTACAATGACAAAAGAAAGATAATTTTTTGCCTAAAATATATTTTCTATAGAAAAAAAATCTCTGATTAGATAGCATAATGCATATTTTACAACAACAACAATAATAATTGTTGTTGTTGTTGTTGTTTGAGATTAATTAATATCATGTGACTTACTGCTTATAGTTGAAAGCCAGTTCAGAAATTATTCCTCTTCGTTTTCTGTATTCTGGATCACTGAATCCCTAAATAATACTAACGTTCATGTCACTGATGTAACAAATGATCTGAATAATGCAAGTAGAACTAAGATTATACAATTTTGAATGTAAATAATGTCCTATTTTAAGAAAAGCATCACTGTTTTTCACTTACAGGGTGATCCTGGTCCAGATCAGGGTCATATTTTGTTATCAGATGATTGCATTTATCTAGGTCAGAAATCTTCTTTGGAAACCAAGGAACTGTGTGTTAAAATAAAATTAAAGGAACATTATAAAATAGTTGAAAAGAAATGTCTGCTGTATATGTAATATGGAACAGATAAATCACCTACTCTTTTCTTCTTGCACTATTCTCACATCATCTGCAACTCGTTTTAAGGAGTTGATGAAGATGTCAGTGTCGGAGCAGTGCACTTCACACCTCATGAAGAACTCCAGATCATCTCCACCACTTTTCTTAGACTTCCTGCTTGGCCGACTCTCTAAATGGAGGAGTCTGGCTTCAAAAGTCTAAGTAGCAAAACCAGACGAACATTTTTATTATGTTTTCATCACAAAACATTATTTATGGCACCTGCAATGAAAAAGACATGAACATAATGCATATAGAGCCGCCAAATTTGACACAACTAAAAAAGCAGCACATGGTCTGCTATGTTTTTAGTGTTGTTGTTAGCCTGTTTTATGTGTTTGTTTCCAGATTTATTTGCAAAAATATGTTGTTTTTTTAGTTTGTTATTTTGAAATAAATTTAGGACGGGGTGGTAATGGGAGATAATTATTCTGTGCAAATATATTTGGTTACCGCAGTAAATTCATGCACAGATTTAAATTGCCCATTTTTCTGTTGGTGTCACATTTGTAACAACAGCTCTCATTGTAGTTGACATTAATTAACACAGTTTAGGTAATACCATTTTGAATACCTTAATTTGCAGCAAAATAAATATAGTAAGGTACTCTGGGAAAAAATGGTATAGAAATAAGTTTCACTCAGTCGGAAATTGCTAGTAAATTTCCCAAACAATTACAAAGATAAAAGGCATAGGTTAATTAAAGGCTGAATTAAATGTAAAAAATTAAAGCAAAAAGAAAAAAATGGTAATTTCTTGTAAATCGTAATGTAGGGCCTAGCTACTGTTTCCCTACACAGTCTATAAACTAAGTAGGCTATACGTTTAGGACAACAATAATAATAATAATAATAATAAAAGGGGAAAACACAATACAGACCTTGAAACAAAATGGCACCACAACTGTGGGCTAATTTATGAATGAAAATGACCAAAGTAAAAGCACATACCTCAAAGACTTTGCCAGCCTTGAAGAAGCCTGCGTTCTTCTCATATCTGAGAGCAAAGAGGATGTTGAGAGTGACTCTGCCGCTCTTCTCCTCCTCAAACACGAAGCTGTCCCCGCAGCGTGAGGGCCCCGGAGAAGACGAGCCGCTCTCTCTGTGCCGCGCGTCCTCGATCAGACTGCGCTTTCTGCCGCTCAGCGGAATAGTCTGCACTACACTGTCCGTCTTCATTGATTCTTAGGGGGAAAATATCTATATCTAAAATAAATATATCCAATGAATCTTTGAGTCGACAGCAAATAAGGAGTCCAACTGTCTAAATGAGGAGAAAACTATTTTGTTCACTGTGGGGCCAAAGCCCTGCAATTTATATGCAGACGTGCTGGACTTTATGTAAATGTGTTGCGTAAATGCAAGTCTAATTTTTAGCTGAGATGCGTCACGAGTTTTGTGTTTTTCTTTTCCAGGCACCACATAAGACATTTCACAGGTGCTTCACAGCCAAAAGCGACAAGTTACATAAGCTAAATGCTAGTTTTTGTGAAAGGTCAGCACTAAATGAGTCTTTATTGGAAATATATAAATAAATAACAAGTATTCTTTGTTTTTAGAGGCGTAAATGACACAAAAAATACGGCATTGAAATTGCGCTGCTCTCCATGGTACTGAAACCGACTTCTTTAATCTGCACGCATGCTGTTCACTTGTAAATGCAATAAATAACAACAATAATAATAATAATACATGAATATACTTTAATTATATATTTATTATATTATTATTATAGAAATAAAAATGGCAACTTTAAAAATATATAATAATAGTTTTAATAATAACAATCTTTATTGATTTTTTTTGAAGTACATGTGACAATGCATGCATAACATCTCAGTCTTCAGTACACTAACAGATAAATGATACGTGCAGTAGGCTATGTTAAATTGCATTCACAGTCAAGCAAAACTTATAACTACAAATATCTCGTTACGTTTACGTATTTCAATAATTAAGTGTGTAATGCAGTGTAATGTAATGCAGCATATGAACGCATGTTTTAAACAAAAGCAATTTAATAATGAAAATAATTCGTCTCCCAAATGCATTGGCTCAACACATGGTTTCAACAAGCCTTTGATTCATTGATTGCGGCTTGTTTGGGAAAATTACAGCAACATTGTGCAACAACAAGTAGCAACAGCTGAAGCAAATGGTGGACGGTAGGCAATCTGTATTTTTATATGATTAAACTACTGAGAAAAATACAACATATAATATATAAAATAACAAATATTGCGGCAAGGGGCCTCATGATGCCCGAAGCTTTTTGCTATTTACGTGCTATTTGTTTTGCATAGGTATTTTTTCCGTGTTATTTCGTTATATGTCATTTAAATACGTAGTGACTAAATATATTTGAACTAGCAAAATTTGTCTATAAATATGTTTTACATGCAATACATAAGGACTAATTTAATATTTAATATCATGCTCTCTCTATCACAGCTTGATTAGAAAAAGTATGTTGTATATGAACCTAAAAAGCAATACAGACGATGCTTATTTAGCGTCTTTGATATTCTAGCATTTCTTCTTCATTTTCCTTGAAAATCTTCCACCATCGTTTCACTCCATCTTTCGCAGGGCAGTGCACAGGATTGAGATCTCACCTAGGAAGAAAAAAAAGAAACATACATGTGTTATCCATATGGGATTCAATTAAAACGTACACATAATATCTGCAGGTCGACAAAACGACAAAAAATTTGCAATTCATAAAACGGCCTGTTTAGTCACTAATAATAAGATACATTGATAATGCACTGAATTTAAAAAATTGTCAAATTGAAACCTCAGGGAGTTAGTATACATTTTCCAACTCAGTAAAGTTAAAAACTAAAATTTAATTGCTGTAAAAAGTAAAACCACGACCTGAATTTCATCATGGGTGAAGAAAATTGAGTTAAAACTCTGAACTCTGAATTTCATTATAAAATAAAAATTAGTAGAAATTACTACAAGCTAAATGAATGGAAACAAAGTATTCAATAACAGTTTTACAGTGCTGATCTGACCATTAAAAATAATTTGAGTGGGAATGATTTTATTCAATTTGACTTAAAGATAGTAAACAATATTATTTTACTTGTACCATTTCATTTCTTTATAACCACAAATAGTACATTTTAGGTGACCTGACTTTTTACAGTGTACTTTTCCAAAATCCTTAATATAACCCTCAAATGCTCCTTCCTGTTGTCTTTACTTTCAGTAGAGAATTCTCCTGATTTTTGTTCTGAAAATCCAGATTTTTCATTCTTAATTCTTGTATAATAGGGGAAATGCAGTTTAAGTGCTACATTGTACTGAAGACACACTGTTGATGTTGTCGGCCAGGTTCTTCAGCTGCTGTGTGTTGTCCAGCATCTCGATTCTCTGTGTGTAGGCATTATAGCGCACAGAGAAAGGTCTGGGAATGGTGGAAGCAAATTTCCTGTAAAAACAAAATGAAAAAGAATATATAACTGGAAAAATGCAAAGGGAAGGGCCGATTTAAGAGATGGTTTAATTGCAGTCAGTTTACATGACTTTTTCTTTGGCGTCCTCGAAACTTTCAGCCACAAAGTAAACTGGCTGGAACTCTGTAATGGGATACTGCTGCAGGCAGGTCTTCTCTGGCTCGAAGGGCAGAAGTTTAGGCTTGTCCGTCAAACAGTACTGCAAGACATTCGAATAACATCTCATTTTCAGTCTGTTCTCCACTTCAGCCATGCTTTTGTGCATCAGTGACATGCTTCTGCTTTTCACTCCACTAATGACACAATAAACTCAATTGGGCTGCTAACTCCTTTTCTAAAAGCTCAAAGCAAAAAGCCAGTTTACTTTGTTGGGTTAGAGCACAGGGCATGAATCAAAAGGAAGCAATCTGAGAGGTACCACATACCTGCAGTTCGCCAAAAGATGAGAGCAGACCAGCACCGTAAGCCTTTACTTTATCTCCTTCCTTGCACAGACCAAACTCCACAGTGAACCAGTAGACCTGCAAAAAATAAACATTAGAATCATACAGCCCCTTTGAGAGAGACAAATATATCTTGCGGTCTTATAACATGACTGGCCTCAGTGAAAAGGTGGAAAATGATTCTTATCGTAACCTAAAGCAATACTCACTGTGGCCAGCTTCTCTATGAACTCATCAGGGGCGCCCAAAGAAGCGAGTCCAATTTCCTGGTCAAACAGAAATCAACATTTGGATATTACATCGCTGATAAATGCACATTAGATATGAAGTCTGAAACAGATATTCTATAGAAACCCACATAAGCATACTATAGAAGCTTATTTCTGAAATTCTGTTTTTTTGTGGGGTTTTTTGTAATTGCGATATATATATATATATTAGTCCTGTCAAACGATTAATCGCGATTAATCGCATCCAAAATAAAAGTTTTTATTTACATATCTGTGTGTATTGTGTATATTTATTATGTATATATAAATACACACATACAGTATATATTTTGAAAATATTTACATGTAAATATTTATATTCATATAATTTATATTTATGCCAACACGGTTGGAATAAATATATTTAATATAAAAATGTAACATATTTTTCTTAAATATATACAGTACATGCATGGGTGTGTATATATACTTCAGTCATGCTTTTGTGCATCAGTGTCATGTTTCTGCTTTTGTATTTATGTATATTACTATATGTATTTATATATACATAATAAATGTACACAGTGCACACATATATTATGTAAACAAAAACTTTTATTTTGGATGCGATTAATCGCGATTAATCATTTGACAGCACTAGTATGTGTACATACAGTGGGGCAAAAAAGTATTTAGTCAGCCACCAATTGTGCAAGTTCTCCCACTTAAAAAGATGAGAGAGGCCTGTAATTTTCATCATAGGTATACCTCAACTATGAGAGACAAAATGAGAAAAAAAATCCAGAAAATCACATTGTAGGATTTTTAAAGAATTAATTGGTAAATTCCTCGGTAAAATAAGTATTTGGTCACCTACAAACAAGCAAGATTTCTGGCTCTCACAGACCTGTAACTTCTTCTTTAAGAGGCTCCTCTGTCCTCCACACGTTACCTGTATTAATGGTATCTGTTTGAACTCGTTATCAGTATAAAAGACACCAGTCCACAACCTCAAACAGTCACACTCCAAACTCCACCATGGCCAAGACCAAAATTGTAGACCTCCACCAGGCTGGGAAGACTGAATCTGCAATAGGTAAGCAGCTTGGTGTGAAGAAATCAACTGTGGGAGCAATTATTAGATATATATACTGTATATATATATATATATATATTTGTGCTGTCAAATGATTAGTCGCGATTAATATAAATATATATATCATAATTCATTCAAAGAATTACAGAATTCTGAGAATAAAAGTCAAAATTACAGATGTATATCATAAATTTAACTTCTTTCATTCAAGTTATTATTATATATTATATTATATTATATTATCAAACCTGTGAGAACTGGGCAAAACATGGGTCAGCAAACAGTGGGACATGACCTAGAAGCTCATGACAGATGTCCCTGAGGAAACAAATTCACATTTATTTTTTCCTTTGATCACTTTTCACAGTTATGAAATATATTTGTGCCATTTATTTTATGAAGTCTGAAACAGATATTCTATAGAAACCCACATAAGCATACTATAGAAGCTTATTTCTGAAATTCTGTTTTTTTGTGGGGGTTTTTGTAATTGCGATATATATATATATATTAGTCCTGTCAAACGATTAATCGCGATTAATCGCATCCAAAATAAAAGTTTTTATTTACATATCTGTGTGTATTGTGTATATTTATTATGTATATATAAATACACACATACAGTATATATTTTGAAAATATTTACATGTAAATATTTATATTCATATAATTTATATTTATGCCAACACGGTTGGAATAAATATATTTAATATAAAAATGTAACATATTTTTCTTAAATATATACAGTACATGCATGGGTGTGTATATATACTTCAGTCATGCTTTTGTGCATCAGTGTCATGTTTCTGCTTTTGTATTTATGTATATTACTATATGTATTTATATATACATAATAAATGTACACAAGAAACATTGCTGTGCTGCATAATATTTTTGTGGAAACTATGATACACTACCATTAAAAAGTTTATGGTAAGTATATAAATATTAACATAAATATTAAGCATCAATATGTGTTTTCAAAATTGATAGTAATAAGAATTATTAATAAATGAGAAACAATAATAACTGATAACACCAAACCAACATATTAGAACAATTTCTGAAGGAACATGTGACACTGAAGACTGGAGTAAAGGCTTTGGCATCACAGGAATAAATTACATTTTAAAATAGTTTAGTTCTTTTAAATTGTTATAATATTTCATAATATTGCTGTTTTTACTGTGTTTATATATATCTTAAATATTCAACCTTTTGACCAGTATAGTGAATACTATTTTATGTGGCCTAAAGGGATATTTCACCCAAAAATAAAAACTCTGATAATTTGACTTTCATAGTATGAATAAAAATGGTTGAAACATTTTTCAAAATATCTTCTTTTGTGTTCCACTGAATAAATAACATCATACAGGTTGGAGCGACATCAGGATCAGTAAATAATGACAGAATTTGCTGTTATCTGTAAACTTCCCCTTTAAGTATACAAACACTTTTTGGGTCCCATTGTATTTTTATACCCAGACCATCCTAAAACAGGGGTGATTAATGACACTAAGCATATACTCTATAGCCTGTACGTCATATCGATGTCATATCAGTGATGAGTGGCCATTTAAGTAGGACTAAAAGAGATAATGTATCTTTATATGAAATTTCATAATTACTTCTACTATTTAAAATATGGTTAAAGTGTACTAGTGAATGTATTGACAACCATTTATGCTAAACTAAAATACACTTAATTTAAAATATACTTAATACATATGCAATTTCTTTTAAATGTATTTGTATTTAAATATATTTGTAATTACTGCAATTTAGCACATTTAAAATATTTAAATTGTAACTTTTAATGTAATACTATAATGTAATGTTAATTTAATGCAATAACACACAACAGTTAAAATTATTATTAAGTAATCTACTTTACATGTGCTTTAGTATGCTAGTCAACACATTAAAATAAGTGTATTTTAAAATATACAACAAAAGATTTTAAAAAGTACTTTGAAGTAGTAAAACATTTAATTTGACATTATTATAAAATACACATTTCAAAAGAATACTTACTGATGAAAGTATTCTCTCTTTATGTACAAATAGGTGGCATTTTATTTCAATAATATTACATTATCTGCAAGTACAATTTTTTTAATATATACTTTTAAGATTTGAATACGCTACAAGTGCACACTCATTACAATTAAATGCACTTTTTTCACAAGGGTATAGTAATGCACTTACAGTGTAAATCTGTGGGGCAATGCATTTCATAAGAATATATATAAGGGGGAAAAATGTAATGGGGTCTGTTGGTCTGTCAGTCTTTGTACTGAACTTTGACCCCCACCCTGCTGAACTGACTCTTGAATAGAAACAAGACATTTCAGTCTATCTCTATGAGTCTGTTTGTCCTCAAAAACTAAACTAATGTAATTCTGGAAACAACCATAAGAGAGGCCGAGTGCAAAGGTCTTTGTCCTCCATCTCCACAATGACATTTATGAACGATTACAGCATGTGTTTTATTTCTGTTCTTCATATTCTATACCATCCTATTCTCGCTCTCTTGTTGTGTTTCTGTCTGACCTTGAAATGCTGTAGCAGCTATTTATTTTTTTCTCATAGGGAGTGATGAGTTATTCATCAGACTGTTGTCTCACCTGTGTCTTTCTGTTTGTTGCGAGACAGCTCATGAACTTGGCCACTGATCTGTGTGCGCAGACCATCAACAACTTCATCTAGAGCTTTAGAGGAGGCCTGATCCACACTGATGAAGAACTCATATTGTTCTTTGTTGTCACGTGATGGACGGGACTCGATGTGGGTCAGGTTAATGCCTTTGTCCTGCAAAGTACATACAACATAATTTAGTCACAATGCTGTATTATATTACATACCTTACAATTATTCAATACTATATATTACAAGTTATTTATATATTAGTGAGAGATATATATACATTATTTTTAAAGTAAAAACTGTACTATCCATTGTTGTATGGATTCTAGGACAATTTTTGGCCGAGATACAACTATTTGAAAATCTGGAATCTGAGGGTGAAAAAAAAAATTTAAATATTGAGAAAATCATCTTTAAAGTTGTCCAAATGAAGTTCTTATCTATGCATATTACTAATCAAAAATTAAGCTTTGATATATTTACGGTAGGAAATTTACAAAATATCTTCATGGAACATGATCTTTACTTAACATCCTAATGATTTTTGGCATAAAAGAAAAATCAATCATTTTGATCCATACAATGTATTTTTTGATATTGCTACAAATTAACCTGTGCGACTTGGTCCAGGATAACATTTAGAGTAAATAAAGCAAATATTTATTTACTCTAACTTTATAACTTTAAGAGAGTTTTTAATATATAATTATTGCTCTTTTAGTATGTTTGAAAATCTGAAAATAACAGTTTAGCTTTCAACATAAGTTTGATGTTTAGATAAGTCTATATGCATAATATGCATCACAGTGAATAAACACTAGGTGGCACTCCAGGCCAGTCCTTCTAACAAACAAAAACAAATTCAATAATAATATACAGCACTGTGGAGAAAACTGCATTCCAGACTGAGTGATTCACTTTAATAATACTTTAATAAAAGTGTTATTAAAAGTGTTATAAAATTTCACAGACCACTTTAATAAAGAGATTTGACCATGAATTAGAAGATGTGTAAGATGTATCATGAACATGACATGATTAAGAGCATTTGATAGGCTCCTATGTGTGGTCCTCTCATTTCTAATTAAAGTAGCATTTAATAAATTATTATAGTGCATCAGTAACCACATTCACATTGTGGCAGCAACTGAGAATCACATGGGCAGTTTTTCTTCAGCCAATAGGAGAGTGGGTGTTTTTGCATATTTATGTTCAAATTGCACTGTTCCAGCCAACACATGCTTGTATTTATGTGTTTTTACACACAAAGAGGGAGGACACCCATTGCTGTTTGCTATAGGCCTGTAGAGGAGGCGGATGGGGTTTACAATGCCTTAGACCTTCTCTGGTCCTTTTTCAACATTTTCCCTCTCTGTCCATGTGGTGCTGATTGAGTCCATATGGATATGTATCCTTTAACATTTAAAAAACAACACAGCAGAGAATTACTGCATTATTTTTCTGCATGCTTGGCATTTTTTGCAGCGCTGGGTTGATATAATTGTGTTCAGAGTGTCAACGGGTTCAGTCAGAACAGTCAATGTTTCTGTCAAGTGTCTGCATTTGTTTTTTTATATGTATAATGCTACAAAGCCCCTGTTAATCTTTGGTCCAGTTGATAATATGTGCTTGTCTATTTGTTTATTTCTGGTTTGCATTTTATACTGTCCTGACAAGGTATTAATCATATTAACTAATTGCATTATATTAATTATTAATTAATTAATGTTCTATTTAAATTGTATTAATCATGACTAAATAATCAGATATGCTGTTGGAGCTGGATAGCTAATTCAGAATAATAGCCCTTATTCATTATAACTATAATAATCAATTATAGTTGCTTTTAGTCTTTCATAAAGCATATTTTCCCCTTATAGTAAACATTCAGTGTGGACTGCAGGAAATTGCTTTGAATTAGGTTCAAATTAAGCTGGAAAGTGTGTGCGGGGTATCCGGGGTGAGGGGTGGAGTAGGGGGTGTTTTAAAGGGGGTGGAGTAGGATGGTACGGCAGAGCCAATCAGAATCCACAGGCTGAGCTTTTATCTTTATAGTGGCATTAGGGGGTGCATGGTTGGCACACATCCATTAATTACTTGCACGAAAGCACCAGAGATTTTAGGCTTATTAGTTTGGTTGGAGGTTTCAGGTTGCAGAGTTTCAGGAAAGCACAGCATATATTGATCTGCAACATGTTGTGCTTATGTAATAATTTCCATATAATCAGTAAATGAAACCTGTCATCTACTTGGGAGCACTTTTCATTGCATGGAGGCAGTAGAAAAGTCAACATCCAGAAACAAAATATACTGAACTTTGATACAAGAACTTTGGAGATGATTCAAGAAATCTTGGCATTATACAAGACATGTGCACTGTGTGCATGTCTACAAAATCCTTTCATCTCAAAGCACTATTCTGCTTGATATTATTGATTTTTCTATATGCTTGCCAAGAACAGGTCACAATGTTGTTTTTTCAATGGCTTTAAGCTTTGTCTCGCCCTTTTTAGTTTATTTACATTTACTGAATTCATACCAAAAAGGAAATTAAACAAAACAAAACTTCTGGGTCACTAAGATGCATTTCATGTATTTTTGCCAAGGCTGCATTTATTTAATCAAAAGCACAGTACAGTAATATTGTGAAATAGTATTGTAATTTATTTATAATAACTATTTTCAATTATAATATATTTTACAATTGTATTATTTTCTATGATGACAAAGCTGGATATTCATCAACTGTTATCCCAGTCTTCAGTGTTACATGATCATTCAGAAATCAAATAATTTGCAAAGTCAGTGCTCAAGAAACCTTTCTTATTATTATCACAGTTGAAAATTGTAATAAATTGTGGAATCCATAATACATAGTTTTTTCCGGATTCTTATATAATTGGAACAGCTTTATAAATTACTTTAATTTTTTCAATAATTTTATCCTTGCTGAATAAAAGTATACATTTCTTTCCATTTTTTTCAATGAAGCTCCCTCTCCTGAGGTATTATCTTACAGCATTCATACCTCAGCTTAAATTAATATGCCATGTTTTCATAGCTGACAGAAGCTTTAATGTACATTTAGATTTTTTTTCTTGTTCTGGCACATAGTGGCACAAAAGCACCTTTAAAGACAAGTTCATTGATTTTCACCCAGCTTTGTGTTGTAGCAATGCTGCTAGTTATATGTATATGAAAAATGTGTACTCTTTCTACATGTTACAAAATGTGTCATCCAGCATATTGTACTGCATATTGTAACAATACAAAGCTGGTTGAAAATATCTCTCTCTCAATACATACATACATGCATATATATTGCTGTGTGGCAAACATTTCTTTGCTGTTTTATCAACGGAGGCAGGTCACAAGTTTCATTAATTCTGCTGAAGTTGCATCATGTGCACAGTATTATATTGCTCTTTTAGTATGTTTGAAAATCTGAAAATAACAGTTTAGCTTTCAACATAAGTTTGATGTTTAGATAAGTCTATATGCATAATATGCATCACAGTGAATAAACACTAGGTGGCACTCCAGGCCAGTCCTTCTAACAAACAAAAACAAATTCAATAATAATATACAGCACTGTGGAGAAAACTGCATTCCAGACTGAGTGATTCACTTTAATAATACTTTAATAAAAGTGTTATTAAAAGTGTTATAAAATTTCACAGACCACTTTAATAAAGAGATTTGACCATGAATTAGAAGATGTGTAAGATGTATCATGAACATGACATGATTAAGAGCATTTGATAGGCTCCTATGTGTGGTCCTCTCATTTCTAATTAAAGTAGCATTTAATAAATTATTATAGTGCATCAGTAACCACATTCACATTGTGGCAGCAACTGAGAATCACATGGGCAGTTTTTCTTCAGCCAATAGGAGAGTGGGTGTTTTTGCATATTTATGTTCAAATTGCACTGTTCCAGCCAACACATGCTTGTATTTATGTGTTTTTACACACAAAGAGGGAGGACACCCATTGCTGTTTGCTATAGGCCTGTAGAGGAGGCGGATGGGGTTTACAATGCCTTAGACCTTCTCTGGTCCTTTTTCAACATTTTCCCTCTCTGTCCATGTGGTGCTGATTGAGTCCATATGGATATGTATCCTTTAACATTTAAAAAACAACACAGCAGAGAATTACTGCATTATTTTTCTGCATGCTTGGCATTTTTTGCAGCGCTGGGTTGATATAATTGTGTTCAGAGTGTCAACGGGTTCAGTCAGAACAGTCAATGTTTCTGTCAAGTGTCTGCATTTGTTTTTTTATATGTATAATGCTACAAAGCCCCTGTTAATCTTTGGTCCAGTTGATAATATGTGCTTGTCTATTTGTTTATTTCTGGTTTGCATTTTATACTGTCCTGACAAGGTATTAATCATATTAACTAATTGCATTATATTAATTATTAATTAATTAATGTTCTATTTAAATTGTATTAATCATGACTAAATAATCAGATATGCTGTTGGAGCTGGATAGCTAATTCAGAATAATAGCCCTTATTCATTATAACTATAATAATCAATTATAGTTGCTTTTAGTCTTTCATAAAGCATATTTTCCCCTTATAGTAAACATTCAGTGTGGACTGCAGGAAATTGCTTTGAATTAGGTTCAAATTAAGCTGGAAAGTGTGTGCGGGGTATCCGGGGTGAGGGGTGGAGTAGGGGGTGTTTTAAAGGGGGTGGAGTAGGATGGTACGGCAGAGCCAATCAGAATCCACAGGCTGAGCTTTTATCTTTATAGTGGCATTAGGGGGTGCATGGTTGGCACACATCCATTAATTACTTGCACGAAAGCACCAGAGATTTTAGGCTTATTAGTTTGGTTGGAGGTTTCAGGTTGCAGAGTTTCAGGAAAGCACAGCATATATTGATCTGCAACATGTTGTGCTTATGTAATAATTTCCATATAATCAGTAAATGAAACCTGTCATCTACTTGGGAGCACTTTTCATTGCATGGAGGCAGTAGAAAAGTCAACATCCAGAAACAAAATATACTGAACTTTGATACAAGAACTTTGGAGATGATTCAAGAAATCTTGGCATTATACAAGACATGTGCACTGTGTGCATGTCTACAAAATCCTTTCATCTCAAAGCACTATTCTGCTTGATATTATTGATTTTTCTATATGCTTGCCAAGAACAGGTCACAATGTTGTTTTTTCAATGGCTTTAAGCTTTGTCTCGCCCTTTTTAGTTTATTTACATTTACTGAATTCATACCAAAAAGGAAATTAAACAAAACAAAACTTCTGGGTCACTAAGATGCATTTCATGTATTTTTGCCAAGGCTGCATTTATTTAATCAAAAGCACAGTACAGTAATATTGTGAAATAGTATTGTAATTTATTTATAATAACTATTTTCAATTATAATATATTTTACAATTGTATTATTTTCTATGATGACAAAGCTGGATATTCATCAACTGTTATCCCAGTCTTCAGTGTTACATGATCATTCAGAAATCAAATAATTTGCAAAGTCAGTGCTCAAGAAACCTTTCTTATTATTATCACAGTTGAAAATTGTAATAAATTGTGGAATCCATAATACATAGTTTTTTCCGGATTCTTATATAATTGGAACAGCTTTATAAATTACTTTAATTTTTTCAATAATTTTATCCTTGCTGAATAAAAGTATACATTTCTTTCCATTTTTTTCAATGAAGCTCCCTCTCCTGAGGTATTATCTTACAGCATTCATACCTCAGCTTAAATTAATATGCCATGTTTTCATAGCTGACAGAAGCTTTAATGTACATTTAGATTTTTTTTCTTGTTCTGGCACATAGTGGCACAAAAGCACCTTTAAAGACAAGTTCATTGATTTTCACCCAGCTTTGTGTTGTAGCAATGCTGCTAGTTATATGTATATGAAAAATGTGTACTCTTTCTACATGTTACAAAATGTGTCATCCAGCATATTGTACTGCATATTGTAACAATACAAAGCTGGTTGAAAATATCTCTCTCTAAATACATACATACATGCATATATATATATATATATATATATATATATATTGCTGTGTGGCAAACATTTCTTTGCTGTTTTATCAACGGAGGCAGGTCACAAGTTTCATTAATTCTGCTGAAGTTGCATCATGTGCACAGCATTACATAATCCCCCGCAAATACGTCCTGTTCAGTGTTTTGTATTTCTACAAATGTCCCACTATCATCCGCTGTCCTTGACTCTCACGTTTTGGCTTTAGATAAATGCAAGTGTATATTAGAGAGAGTAGGAGAAACAGCGAAAAATGGACAGACGTACAACCATACAAAGAGACACTGAAAAGGGACAAATTATGCAATTCAGATGTTTTGTGTCTATTACATAATCCCCCGCAAATACGTCCTGTTCAGTG